CTTTCTCCAGATCATCTGCAAGTAGTACTGGATCTGATATTGATCTAGTGACATATGGTAGGTACAATTTTATTTTAAAATTATTTTTACTGGTTTTTTATTATTAGGAAATGATTTGTTACTGGGTGACTGTCTTCGCATTATTGCAAGTGAAGGAGATCTAAAAGAAAAATGGTTTGATTTTGGATTCATATTGGGTTTTACTATTAGTCAACTTAACAATATTGAACTAACAAGCATCAACTCCATCCAACGCACTAGAAAAGTTATAATACAGTGGAGGGATCAGAATAGATCAGAATCATGGGAGCCTTTAGCAGCAGCTTTGGTCAAGATTGGCTTTGAAGATTTAGCACACAGAGTCAAAGATCATTTTGAATTTCATTCTACACCTGAACCAGGTCCAGAAAATAAAGAAGACCATTATAAGGGAATTTATTGTAAGCTCTGTGATAAATACCATCTTAATTTTGAGGACATTCAACACAAAATACCAAGTAAATTAGCATTCTAAATTTTTCATACAATTTTATCATACCTTATAGACGCTGACTCTCCTCCTGATATGGTTGATCTTATTAACTTGGTAGCTGTGAAGATTCAAGACAAGTTTTATGAATTTGGAACAGCACTTCACTTGGATGATGGTTTCTTGAGGAGTCTCTATATCGATTATCATGATTCCTTGGTTAGGTTTATTGTAATTCTGAACAGATGGAAAGATAACGGTCCTGATGCATACACATGGAGTACTGTCATTAAGGTACTTCAGTCTGATGCTATTGGAGCTCATGCAGTGGCTCAAGATGTCATGAAGCATCTTACCACTAATACAGAGGCAGCAGAGCATACTTCCAACTAATTGTTTTTGTATAGTTTTTGTAGGTGTGATGTGTGCCATTTTTATATTTTACAAAGTATATACATACTTTACTTTTATCATTTGTACATTATTTATTTAAGAACTTGTTTTTACTAATGATGCTATGATTGTTATTTTATATTTTTATAACTGAATTGATTTAATTTACTTTTGATGATTGTGAAACTTTACAAGGCCTAGATGTGTCAGTAGCTCTTATGTCCTGTTGCATAGGTATTATAAAATGAAAATCTGATTAGCATCAATAAAAAAAATTAATTTGGTTATTATAAAAAGTACAAATTTCACAGAGTAGACATAAAAATGTTCTTTGGGCTCTCGTTAAAACCTAAAGCCTTTCCAAGTACAAGGAACTGACTTCTGAGGTAATCAATGTTCACATAGGTAGTCTACATAATGAAAAGAAAACAGTAATCATTAAGTTATCAATCAGTAGTGCTTGTAGCCATTCTTGGATATAATAACTACACACCCTCATACTGATAATATTTTTGTATACTATTACATGTGTTTGTGTGTGCATCATATACTGTACATGAAAATTTCTGAATCCACCGTTCAGTTGAAATGAGTTTCTGGAGTGTAGAAAACGACGATTATTAAATGCAATGATTTGTCCAGGTAACAGACAATGCTCCAACTACAGAAATATAATCGTTATTAATAATAGAACTTAACTAAGCAATTAAGATCAAAAATTGATTGTAACAGTAATATTAAGACACTTACATGATACTTTGAGCTCTCGATTTTCCTTGACATGTATAAGAAAGCTTTATAATAGCTATCCAGTAGATCCTGCAAGGAATGAGGATACAATGATACAATAGAAATGAAACTTATAATAAATACCAGGTCATCCAGCATTACAGGCTCTTGGTGATGAGTGTTCCAATTAACAGTAGCAACCTACAAGTATTAGAATACAATTATGTGTATTACGTATAGTGGATATGTGTATTTAATGCTCATTGAAGTATTGTATTAATAATCCTCTTATACCTCTCCATATCTGTCCAATTGGATGTGTGGGCGTGATATACCCATATCAGATGGGGTCTCAACGTCATTCCTAAAATAAATAAAATGAATATGAAACATTAAGAATACTAAAATATAACGGCGATTCATCAAAAATGCTAACTACATATATTTAATTATTTTTGTACTGTAAAGGCTCACTTCATGTAATGTCGTCTCTGAAATGAAACTGGTACTTTAGTGAGGACCTCAAAATACTGAGGGGCTTCTTGTCTGAGTTCTTCCAGGACTGGATAGAAATCAAGAAATATATTCTCACCTCCCACAACACAAGAATCTCTTCTATAGAGGAAGAGAAAAACAAGATTATAATTATATGCTTCATTGTATATTACTAATGCAGTATATCCTCAAATAAAAGCTCTTTTTCAATTAGAAGCCTGAGGGCTACATGTATTAAAGAAATATAAGCCTGTATAAAGTATAGGAGATTACTCTAATAGAAGTATTAAAGATTCCTGGGCTACTATTGAAGGATTTATAATACTTAAATATCTGCATTATTAAAAGTATGTGACCTAGCAGGTGAAAATGGTTTAGTTGGCAGTATGAGATCACAAACATGTAATAGTGACTTTGTATCAAAACTTTGGTATACACTTACTATCAAAACAAAGAAACCATGATACCAATCAGAGCTTCATTTAGGGGGGGGCGGAGGGGGCGCTCGCCCCCCCTTGGGAGACACTTGCCCCCCTTGATTGACTTATTAACATGAAAAATTTCATCACCACAGCAGTAAATTGTATAAGTGTTGTGAGCACGCATTGTGCATACACATTAGAAAATATTAGTGACCCCCTTCTTTGAAATATTTTTAACCCTGCCCCCCTTGTATATAATCCTAGATGAAGGCCTGCCGATTGACTTTAGTGTTTAAGGTCGCTTATCTTAATGGCAACCAATGCTGAATTTTTGCCTGCTATGTCACATTTAATGTATTTTGGTGGCATACTGTACGTACCTAACGCAGTGGAACAATTCAATACCAGGTGGTGACTCATAGTACAATAAGTCTTGATGGAAGTGTAGGTTGGATGTACTGAAACCAAGATCAGTTGGATCATCCTTGGCATACAAGAGTGGATACTAATAGGACAAAAATAAGGCTCTTAAAAAATGATTTATGTATGAGGATTGTTTTATCATGTTGGGAAAATGACAAACAAGTAAACTTGATAGTGTCTTACATTTCCATAAGTTGTAGGCTGTACATGTGGAAACTTTCCGACAAGCTAAAAAGTTAAACCACCATTAAAACTATTTATTGCGAGTAAAGACATTGCACTGTACCTTTTCTAATACATCAGTAGTTATTGGAGCATTGTCAATGAGACATATACCAAAATAATTGAGGTTTCTTATCCATCTATAAAAAATCAACATGAGAATGACACATAATAAAACATAATACGTTGTTAAAATGACACAAAATACTAATACAAGTAGTCCACCACAGTCATAACATACTGGTATGTGTGTACATCAGAATCTATAACATCACTGTACTCTAGAACAGGAATTGAAGCCTATAAGACAAAAGAAATAATAACAAAACAGAGAAAGGAGGCAGAGAGGAATCTGCTGTTATTGGTTCTTACAGCAACGAGAGGTTTGGAGTCTTTATGTAATTCTTGTTTCATGTGTAAGTTCTTTAACCATTGGAGAGGAATTATTCCTTCATGACTACCAAAGTTTGGTGAGTTCCAATTTATGCGTATAACATCATCTAGACGTAATGAATAATAAAAATACAAAAAATCTTAGGACATCAATATAGTATCTGATATTGACTCATAGCTCAAAAAGTATTGTTGGGAATCAGCTCAAACTTTCTACATAGCATAAGGACATTGATATGTTTTAGAAAATATAATAAAAATTGGGGTGATTTTAGAGCCATTTTTAAAAACCATGGGCTATAGCCTTTGCTTCTTTAAAAAAATTGGCCCCATGTTTAAATTGTGGCTCATAACTAAAAAATTATTCGTCAGAATCAGCTCAAATTAACTTTCTACATAGCATAAGGCCATCGATATGTATCAGAAAATATAATTAAAATTTGGGGTCATTTTGAAGCCAATTTTTGGAAAAAACCATGGGATATACTACAAGGTCGTACAAGGTAGAGTCAATAACAATACATTTATTATATAATTAATTATTCCTTGAGATGTATGGTAATATACTTACATTAAATAAGTTGAAAAAGGAGAAATAACAAGAGGAGATTGATGAGAACAATAAAGCATAAATATGCTAATAATTCACCATCACATAAAAGCTAAATCCCTAAGCTTAAGCTCGAGCTTAAGTCAATGCTGCCATGACCATGTTGAGGGTTAAAAATATGACACACATTGCCCCGCCCAAAACAAGCTACGAGCTCCTCCCAAAGTTTGTAATGGCAGCTAAAACCAGTTTTTGTTCGTCTTCTCTGAGTCTCTTCTCTTCATCTTTGACTATGGGTAATGCTAATTAACTATCTATGTATCATTGACTATAATTTTAGAGCAACTTATTGATGTGCTTAATTTGTTGAAGAGATGTGATTTCCCTCAGAGGAGATGGAAGGAACTAGGACTGACACTAGGACTACACAAGAACACACTAGATGCCATTAAAAGGGACAATGACACAACAGATGATTGTTTAACTGAATGCCTCTCCCAGTGGTTGTCCAGAGCTGATAATGTTAACAGTAAAGGAGGAGCTACCTTTGACTCACTGTCAGATGCTCTTAAATCTATGAATGAGAATGCTGCAGCTGACAAGTTACATTTAGAGAGTAAGTTAATATCACTGGTTGTAATAGCACTGATTGTGTATTCTCTGTAGAACATAGTACGTGTTTGGCTATTGATATATTCAACACTCATCATCCACTCCTCTCTCAGTCTCTCTCTGATCCTGTCAGTGTAGCTATTGTGCTTCAAAGAGAGGGTGTCATAACAAGACAAGTATTGGCTAATGTAGAATCAGCTAGTCCCTCTGTTCCTAATCAACGTGAAGTCCTGTTAGCTGCCATTATAGTAGCTATTGAAAGCAAGTATAGTTTACTACAAACATTTGCTAGTGTGTTGTGCAAGTTCACTGGTAATGTAAAACTAGGAACAGTTATACAAAGAGACTATGGTATAAGTTCACGTAATGAATTATTTTAATTACAGCTTTTATTTTAGATAAACATCTCATTCCAAATGATGTATTTGTTACTGTTAAACTTGAAGAAGGTAGATATACATTATACGTATTTGTATGATTATAATTCAATTACTATTCATTATAGATACATCAAGCACTGGAACAATCACACCATCATCACCTCACACACCAACTGCACCAACAGGTATCTCGTTAATAGAAATGAATATTAATCATAATTCTTGCAGTCGAAATTCCTGTTCGAAAGAGTAAATCATCAGAATTCAGTTCAATAAGAGCTTCACTTGCTAGAATGATATTTAAAGTGTCCAAAGCTATCACAAGGAAATCTCCACCTCTGATCGACCTAAAGTCTCTCATTTGTCTCTTTAATTCTGATCTAAAAGGAAAGCTAGCTGAGTGCAATGATATATCCAGTGTAGTCCATGTGATTGAAGGAGAGTGTTCATTGACTGATGTTAAACTGTTAGAAACTGTAGTTGAAGAATTTGAAGTCACTGAAGCTGAAAGATACATTGAACAATACAAGACAACGCTGGAACAATCCTGTCACTCGCTGTCAATTGAGCTTTGCTTGAAGGAGAAGTTTGATGCTGTCAATACAAGCCCTTCTCTTAAATGTGAAACAGCAACTTTTGTCTTTGACTGGAGACCTGATGAAAAGAAGTTAAAAGATATTATTGATATTTTATCCAAAACATCCGGTAAACTAGTGAAAATAAAATACATTGAGGAAGGAAACTCCATCACCATCACTTGCTCCTTCCCTCACTCTCTCACTAGAGCTCTCATTATAAAAATGGGCGAGAATCTTGAATTATTAATAAAGAATGGTCTAATGAAGCTTACTGTTGGATACTGCACAATATGGAAGAAACAAGTATGTATATACACTGTCAGTAATTATCATTGTAATTAATAAAGGAAATACAGGAGCCACTGAGACAGAAAGAACTTATAGAAGCTGCACAGCAACTAACAAGCATACTTAGTAAAAAAGAAAAGGTACTTGTAGTATACGGTATACTTGTTTAATTGTTGGTATTACAATTATGATTGAGGAATTAATACTTCAATGTATATTAAGAGCTTATTGTTGGAGTGTGTTGTGTATATTAGTGTAGCTTATTGATAGATTATTAAGGTGGGTTTACAAACAATATTATGCTAGTCCTGGCATTATGCTGATTAAAAATTGATGGTATGCTGGCCTGGCATCATATTTTAAACTAGGCTTTAATCAAATCACTTCATGTTTTATTATAACAATATGTAGGAATTAAATAAAATAAAGGAAAAAATACAAGAACTGTCATCACTAACAAAAACTAAGGTTATCATTATTATCAAACATTTGTGTAGCATTATATAGTAAATTGTATTTTAAAATTTTTATTAACACTATCATCAATTTTCATGTATGAAATTGTATTGGTCAGAATTAAGTTTTGTTAGTATATAGTGTATTACTTAGTTACTGATAGGAAGATCAAAATGAAGAGGAATGTACACTAGTGGAATTAAAGGAAGTAAAAGAAGCAACCAATGATTTGGAAGAGAAACTACAAAGTAATTATGCACA